AAAAAAAATGGAAATGGAGGCCAGGATGGAAGGATCACTTCAGGCTAGGAGTTCAAGATCAGCCTGGGCAACATAGCGAGACCCCAGCTCTACAGAAAATGAGAAAAATTAGCCGGGCACGGTGGCGCATGCCTGTAGTCCCGGCTACTCGGGAGGCTGAGGCAGGAGGATTGCTTGAGCTCAGGAGTTGGAGGCTGCTGTGGGCGAGGCTGACGCCACGGCACTCTAGCCCGGGCGACAGAGTGAGACTCTGTCCCAAAAAAAAAAAAAATACAAACCTCAAAAGTGCAACCCGCCCCAAAAAACCGCTCTTTCAGTACGAAGGGACAAAATGTACTGAGGCCCAGAGGCAGGACTGCAGGGCGACGTGCCAGCCGCCACCGGGTCCCCAAGGCTGTCCAGCCGCTCAGGCCGGTCCTGGCGCGAGGGCCGTGGCCGTTGCCGCGGTGCCCGGCTACCTTGAATTCGTCGGAGATCTCCGACATGAAGGACGAGATCTGCTTCATGAGGCGGTCGATGCTGCTCTCGCTGCCCGTCTTGAGCAGGGTGGTGATGGCCAGCGTGGCGATGCTGCGGTTCGAATCCGTCACCAGGTTCTCCAGGTCCAGGTTGCAGGCTGTCACGGCGGACGGGTGCTTCATGGCGACCTAACTCGGGAGGAGAGAGACGAAGGGGGCAGGAGCTCGATGCTAGTAGCGCTTGCCTCGATGGGTCTGGCCTGGTCAGAGGTCCTTTGGACGAGATCGTGTCACCACCCAGGACAAAGTAACTGTGACCAGGGCTATACGTTTCCCAGCCAGGCCGGGGGCTGGGAGACACCTCCAGCTAGGCCGGGCCTGCCTCCTCCCCTCACCTTGGCCTCTTACCTTATTGAGGGTGCGGACGGCGGCGTAGCGGAGGGCGGCCTTGGGTGAGCTGCAGAACAGCTGGAGCACTGTGGGGAGACACGAGCCACATGCCAACCTGCCCTCGCTCTTGCACATCTGGTGGAAGCCAGGGCAGGGCCTCCAAGGGAGGCTCACGGCATTTAGGGTTCACTTCCCGGCCTGACGCCCGCCCCCTATCCGAGGCACAGAGCTCCCCTTCGCCCTGGGCAGCCACAAACAGAAGCCGTAACGTCTCTGAGCACCCAGCGATTCTCGGGAATGACGGCAGCTGGTTTATTTCCTACCCCTATGTGACAGCCATGTCAGTTACCATATCCTTTCCTCGCCCTGGCTGCCAGGAAGCTCAGAGCTAAACCGCACCTTTGACCACGGCAGGGAAGATGACTACTGGTTTCTGGAATATCCATCTTCTTTTGTGTATAACTTGGCTTTTATTCTCTGATACTTGTTTAGAATTTATTTATTTTATTTTATTATCCTTTTGAAACAGAGTCTTACTCTGTTGCCCGGGCTAGAGTGCCGTGGCGTCAGCCTCGCTCACAGCAACCTCCAACTCCTGGGCTCAAGCGATCCTCCTGCCTCAGCCTCCCAAGTAGCTGGGACGACAGGCACACGCCACCGTGCCCAGCTAATTTTTTTTCTATATTTTTAGTTGTCCAGCTAATTTCTTTCTGGTTTTTTTTAGTAGAGACAGGGTTTCGCTCTTGCTCAGCCTGGTCTCGAACTTCTGAGCTCAAGCGATCCTCCCGCCTCGGCCTCCCAGAGTGCTGGGACTATAGGCCTGAGCCACCGCGCCAGGCCTAGAATTTATTTTTTTTCTTAAAAGAAGATAACCCTTATTTTGAAGGCTCTACTTTATGTTCTGCGTAATTCTGGAACTCTGGGGGATACCGTGAGAATAAACGAATGCTCAAGTTAGTGAATGAATTCCTTAGTTTTTTTTTGGCTTGTTTCTAGGGAGGACGGGAGACTTCTCTCTCTAAACACGAACTCCTCTCTCGGCCTGATCGAGTATACACCATTATTCCAGGAAATCTTCGAAAAACGGGAGGCCTAATCACTCCTAAAAACCTGCCAATCTAACCCACCTGCTGTGACGTCTTTGCTCTCACTGGGCTGGTCCTGTTCTAGAATGTTCTCTCTCTCTTTGAATCCACTTTATCAAACCTGACAGCCTCTCCTTTTCTAACTTGTGAACATGCTCACTTCCTGGTACCACCCACTTAGCATCTCATCTCGTATTTTCTGTTCTGGGACACGGAGATTCCTATGCTGAGTACAGAGGCCTGCCCAGAGGAGGCATTAAAGACTCCACGGCTGGCGCTGAGACAGCTCCAGGCTGCTGCAGTCCCCTTGGTAACAGCAAAGAACACGCTGCATTTCAGCACAGCGCCACACACTGTTCTAGAAGATTCGTGCAGATCACACGTTTACGCCTCGATAACCCCGTGTCGTAGGCACGACTACCGTCCACATGGCAAAGAAAAGGAAGCATGGAAAGGCCCCAGGGTGGACCTCAACCTCCCTCCTCAGCTTCTTCAGTGGTAAGATGGAACTGAAAGCAGCCCAGCCCACTCTGGGAGGCCGAGGCGGGAGAATCGCTTGAGCTCAGGAGTTCGAGACCAGCCTGAGCAAGAGCGAGACCCTGACTCTACTAAAAAAACTAGAAAGAAATTAGCTGGACAACTAAAAATATATAGAAAAAATTAGCTGGGCATGGTGGCTCACGCCTGTCATCCCAGCACTCTGGGAGGCCAAGGCCGGAGGATCGCTCAAGTTCATGAGTTCAAGACCAGCCTGAGCAAGAGTGAGACTCTGTCTCTACTAAAAAAAATAGAAAGAAATTAGCTGGACAACTAAAAATATACAGAAAAAATTAGCTGGGCATGGTGGCTCTCGCCTG